CCCCCAATAAAATTATGAATTATCTTGCATAAATAGGCTGTTGATTTTCTTTACTCGTTTCAGGTATTACCAGCAAAATAGTTGCATGTTTAATCATCTAGGAATTTACCCAGATTTATGTTCAGCACAAAGTTATGCCGATGTTTTTGAGTGTGCACTGTGGTTTCCATTAGCTTCTGTTGTTTGCTAACATCTTTCTTTATTATTTTTTTCAGTTATCTAAAATGTTTCATATCTAGGTTTAATTAACTGTAAAAAGCTTGATGTTAAAAGTCTTCAGAAAGTCCTGACCCTTGTCTTAGATAAGCTTCTTCCCTGTCGGTGAAAGCTTACCAAATCCGATTCACATGTTTTCTGTTTTTTTCCTTAAGGCCAAACTTTCACTTCATTTTTTTCAGACCTTAAATCTTTCCTTGTGACTGTAATGACCAAAGTTACAACATTTGTCTTAACAAAAAACTGTCTTTCGTCTAACTTCTAATACTTAACTGAATTCTTACATAATTTTTCTTATACAAATACAACTAAAACAAACACAAACACAACTTCATATATCCCAACAACAAAGTCGTTTCTTTCACCTTCCCATAACATGCGAGTCCGGTAAAGTATGACTTAACACAGCAGCCTAATTGATGACATCACCATGTCACTAGGTGCTGGAAAATTTTATCCATCTATTCATTCTAATCGACTTATCCATTTCAGGTCAGGGTTGCGGGAGTGCTGGAGCCTATACCAGCCTATACAGGCAATTTAGAATCACCAGTTAACCCCATGCATGCCCTTGGATGGCGTGACAATCTGAAGTACTTGGAGAGAACCCACAAAACATGGAGAACACACAAACTCCACACAGAAAGACCCCGTCAGATGGCTGATTCAAATGCATGACCTTCTTGCTGTGAGGCAACAGTATAACAGTAACAGAAATGTAGAAAATAGAAGATAAAATGTGCCTGTTAAAGTTATAGTGAATGTTAGATGTTTTTCAAAGCAGTATTAACTAAAAACAAACATATTTCTGTGTTTTAGAGACAGAGTGACCCTCAAACTCAAACAGATAGTATGAGAGAGAAGTTCAACTAATCTCAAGGAGACTTTAATCTGTCTCTGAAATTATGTGTTTTCCATTGTTCATATGTGCTGGATCTATACTGAATTAATTAATAAATGACTAAGATAGAAGCTCTGTGTTTGACTCACCGAGTAGCAGAGAGACAGATGAAGTTTTCATGGTGTCTTAATGAAGATTTAACTCCACACTGAGCAGATAAACAACTTCAGCTTCCCCACTTCCCTGTTAGCACATCTAGGGATTTACTGGGACTTTTATTTCCTCCTCTCTGTGACCTCAGTATCAGTGCTCCATGTTAAAGGTTCTCTCAGTTCCTTAAATGTCTCAGGAGGACAGCGCTATCCTTTAGAAGTGGGAAGCATCGCATTCATCTGTGTTATCATTTCCCCCAGGCTGTCAGATTTATTCTCCTTCCAGTCCAGAGAACAATAGAAGATGATGTGAAACACTGGAGAAATCTCCCAGTATCAACCATCAAAATTAAAATCCTTTGTTGGACCATATTAGTCTTGATACAGCCTCTGCT